TTAATTGTTTGGCTTTCAGACAGTGTAATAACGTGCTGAAGCACATGTAAGTGAGTAGCCTCAGACATGACAATGTGCATCTTATTGTCAATGAAGAAGAAATTACGAGCTTGAATTTCCACTGAATGCAAACCTGGAGTATCACGCAGAAATTAAAGCCTCGAGGGGATGGTGTTCCATATGTGTTAACTACTGGTGTGGTATCAACTTCTGTTTCAGGCCCGGAAGCTCATCAGTGACTTTGCCATTATCTTGTCCATTTTGATTTTCTGTGGAATAGATGCCCTGGTAGGTGTGGATACACCGAAACTAATTGTGCCAAGTGAATTTAAGGTATGTCATTGTCAGCTTGTTTGGTGGCCTTTGGCAGAGATGCCCTGTCCCACCTCTCTGCCCCATATAAAATGCCTTGCCCTCAAAAGAGAGTAATCAGGAAAAAGGACCCTGTTACTTAGATGATATGCTTTTTATTAGCATCATTCTGATTGGCTGATTTTTCTCCTAAATCCTGCCTCCGCCCTTGAACCCTTTTGTTGCTCTTAAGGGGATGGATGAAACTGTCACAAACCTCGAATGCCTCCCTGTAGCCCCGTTGCTGCAAGTACGAACGTATCTAGGATGTCATCACTGCTACACCGTGTCTCTAATGCAAGTTTTTTTTCCTTAAAAGCCAACCAGTCCCGAGAGGGGTTGGTTTATCCCACCTTTTGGAGGGAACCCGTGGTGGGTGTACCTGGCAGCAGCCATCCCCGCGCTGCTGGTGACCATCCTCATCTTCATGGACCAGCAGATCACAGCTGTCATCGTCAACAGGAAGGAGCACAAGCTGAAGGTGGGTGGTGCCATGTGCCTTGCGCCCGTGCTCAGAGCTGCCCGCTGCTTTTTCGGAGCTAAAGGAGGGCCTGAGGGAGCGTTGAACGTACATGCCACCTCAGAAGCGTCATTGCTGGCGTTGAACAATATTTGTTTTGTTCCCTTGCGTAGAGTTAGTGCCAGGAAAAGTGCTGATTCGTGTGAAAATATCGAGCGTTGCGCAAGGAGCATTTGCCTTCCTCCTAAAGCAGGACCCCTGCACAGAGCCAGCTCGGGATATCCGGTTCAGTAAGCACTTCATGATTTTGGTTTCACGATCGTGTGGCCTGAAGCATTCCCACATGAAAAGCTTTGGGATTCTGCCTCCTTTTTCCTTCGCAAACAGATCACGTGCCAGGAATAGTCGGATTTCACAAAACCACCCGACTACCCCTTCCCTTTTTGGGAAGGGAAGGGACTTAAACCCATCGCAGCCTACCCACTGCTCCACTGGCAAAGACGTGGCTAAAGCCAGAAGCAATCTGAGCAGCCCTCCTTTAAGAGGCAGAACTTTTATTTGAAGCCCATTCTCCTGTCAACATAAACCCCAAAGATTCTTAAAACCTTTACAGTATTTTGTTCTTTCCTTGCAAGAGCTTCGCTCTCCAAGTGTAAACGTCTGAGAATGGCAAAGAAAACTTTGTAAGTCTAGGCAAATCAGAGCTTGTTTTGTAAAGAATACCGATGCGAGCAATGTCTAGCTGCCCTTTGGCCTTGCTGTCTCTCCAGCTCTACTCGTGGTAGTAGTACTGATCTACCTTAGTAAAGGGCTGAGTGGAGTTCATCTCAGAATCTACTAGCCCTGACCCCCGAGGTGTCGTTTGCCTCAGTAATTCCGCATTCGAAGAATTAGGAAAGGAAATAGAGTGTGCAAAATGCTCTTGGTAATGCTGGTGCTTCCGAGGAGTCCTTCACAGAGTTCATGGTTCTCTAGCAGAACTAATCCCAGGCTCAAGTTGAGCTGACTCAAACGTCTGCTGCAGCATCAAGTGACTCTTAGTATCTGATTTTTCGACTTCCGCCTTTCTCCCTTTAAAGACGTGAGCCTATTCCCTGTCATCTGCTGCTGGTTTTAAGGAAAGTTGCTTTGTGGTTGTGGTCAGCTTTCTTCCTGCACTTCTGTCATAGGTTGCAAAGGGATATTTTATCAAGCTGACGCATCGGCACGGAAGGGAAAAACAAAGGTGGCCAGTGTGGGTCCAGCAAGTCACGCAGAGATCTGCAGGGATCGCCCAATTTTGGGACCTCAGGGTTGCGGTGGGGAGAGGCTGTGAGCTCGGAAGGACCCCCTCTCTCGGGAGCTCTGCTTTTAATTTGCACAGCACTGCGTCCTTGCATCCAGGCCAAAATCTCTCTCACCTTATCACAACAGGCAGGTTTTCTCTGGAGCTCACAAGCCCTGAGTGCCGTGTCAGTCATGTAAGTCGATCGCTGGTGGATGTTCCTTCGCAGCCGTTGGCAGAACAAAGTCTCTTTGTGTTGCAGCCATCCCCGAGCAGGCACGGCACCTTGGTGGGGCTGTCAGCCACTCCGATAAAGGTTTTGGAGCAATTGCAGGACCCCACCTGTGGTGGGTACGATGAGAGATGGCCCAAGTATGTGTTGACTGTACAATGCTGTGAGATACAAGAAATAAGCTGTACAGATTTGGAACTTACCAAGGGCATAGCCACAGTTGGATGTTATTTTCAGAAGAGCTTTATATCCGCTGACATGTAACAGACTGGAATATAGTAATGTTTTTAAAATAAACTTTCCAGACCAGCACTGTGCACTTTTTTTCATGCCTGTAGGGTTTTTCCTTTCCCTGCACGGTCAGTTCTATTGAAAAATATTAAATTCCTGTAAAAGACGACTCTCCCTTCCTG